AATTCAAAAGACTTTTTATTCAGACAAACTATCAAATCATCAGACTTAATTGAGATAGATGGAGAAAATGAATAAGAGGTGAAGTACATATTAATCAGTCAAATGAATCAAGACAAACTGCAATATCAAGTCTGCTGAAAGAAATTTGATAAGGATTCATCTTGATACCTAGCTTATGACTTCAAAGAAATCACCACATATTATATATAACTTCCATGAGACAGACTCATTCTATAAAAGCCAGACCTTCAAGATGACTAGATGAATGGCTGAAGGCATGGGAGACAGACAGTTATCTGAAGGCCAAGGTTGATGATGACCTACCAGCATGAGGAAATGCCAGATCCTAGACTGGGGGGTGATGTTAGGCTTAGCGCCTAATTGAGCCTGACTGAGGCCCGGCGCCCGATTAGGCCTAACCCCCATCACGTGACCACGCGGGTTGTTATAATCCGGGCAGACCCCCTTTCATCCCATTAAGCTTAGTATTTTGTTATATAGCAGTTAGCAGCGCAGAGAGTTCCTTCTTATGCAGCTCGCATTTGCTCCCTAACAGACAGTATCAATCTCAGCATTTCAGACATCAGTTAACAGAGTCATAAAGGGATTGATAGTAGCAGCAGTACAGACTACTATATGAAGATGTTCTAGTTAAAGCTCTAGTTCTAGAGCTCTTCATTTCTCTTGTTCTCTAGCAAGCTCAGACTTGCTAAGTGTCAGATGAAGCATAAGATTTTCATCAGCAGACTGAGGAGCAGCTGTTGATTTAGTAGAATACTATATACAGACTAATCTAACTGTTGTAGATGCAGTAGAGAAATCAGAATTAAGATTTGAAGTCTTAGAAATATCAAAAGATCTAAGTGGTGCCTGGGAGGTAGAGAATCAGTTTGAAGTGACAGAGCTAATAGAGTCTATCTATATTCAAAAGTGCAAATGTGTTATAGAGTAAGATCTCACTTGATCTGCTATCTTGCTGTAGAATTCAGAGAATTGAGAGCAAGTTGACATAATAAGAGCTTCTAGAAGGGCCTTTGTAATCTTAGAGAATTATCTCATCAAAATGTGTATCTTTTAAATGGCTCATAAGTCAAAATATCCTATAAAATTTTATTTATCTTCTTTACATATTACCAAAGATTAGTGATGCATTGAGGACAATCAAATAGAGAGTGTAATATATAAATAAGATGATCTATTGATCAAATGAAGCAAGTAGTCACTGGTTTTGACAAGATAACTGCTGAATTGGCTGTGTTTCAGCGCAAAATGGATCTCATAACCTGATGGCAAGCTTGATTGATTGCAGAGTTTGCCCGCTACGAGAACGACAATGGTGGAAAGCAGGTCACGTGACGGAAGTGTCCGACACAATCCGCTCCCTGGGGTATGATATGACTAAACTAGTCAAGAACCTCATCTTTACCAGTCAGTGGGACATCTCCATCTTCGGCTGGGCTTCTTTTTGACTCATCTCTGAAATGAATGTTGAACTGACCACTTTTGGAACTCTGCTTAATAAAGTGATTAACCACCTATCTCCCGAAACGGTCACATGAAGTGGAGGGATTCGTTTTGAGACACTTGGAAGAGCAGTCTACCGATAGGTGGCCGTCAAGTGGTTGGCGGGATATCCTGATTCAGGTGAGCTCATGGCAGGAGGATGATTTCTTGGTTCATGACATGCGTAACTATATCGCTTCACAAAATCTGATTGAATTGCGCTGAGAAATCCTTCTGGCGCTTGGCCTCCTTTCTAAAAGATAAAGGAACTCACAGGGATTCAAATTTATATCTCAACTTCCCTGTTTTACTCCCTAATATATCTATACTGTTCCCGGGATCTTCGAATTCTAAATATCCCAAAAGTGCCATGCTTTTATCTCTGTCTTATCTTATGTCCTCTAGCAAATGCCCGATACGCTCCGTTTTTAACACTTACTGGACTTGTTTACCCACATACTTTGGCCTATACGGGTTGGATGGACTCAATTCAGCAGCACCAGTATATGTACAGCTAGAGTTACCTCAAAGGTTGTCAACGAACGTATGATTAGTTAGTTACAGTCTTACGTTGCCTTCCGATATCTTCCACTAAATCCGAAATGTATGTACAATGTGCATTCTCAGACGTCAACCACTAGTTAGCCGTCTAATAAAAAGTCAATATGACTTCGGCAATCCAAGAATCCTTTCGCCGATATAATTGCAAATCATCTCCCGACTAACAGGAGTAAGGCGGGGGATGAAACATTCCCTCAAGTACCTCTCCACATGATACTCCCTCGCATAGCCCATTCCACCATGGGTCATCACTGCTCTCTCACACGCCTTAAATGCCGCTTCTGCGGCTAGGTATTTGGCCGCATTTGCGTATTCACCTGGTGTATAGCCCGCATCGTACATCTTGGCAGCCTGATAGACCATAAGCCGTGAAGCTTCCAGGCCCATCCAAGCATCAGCTAAAGGGTGTTGAATGGCTTGGTTTTGTCCAATTGACCGACCAAATACTTGTCTCTCGTTTGCATATATCGCCGCTCGTCGCAGAGCTGCGAATCCAAGCCCCAGTGCCTCTGCAGCAAGTAATATGCGCTCTGCATTCATGCCATGCATTATCATTTTGAACCCGTTGTTTTCCTCACCAATCAAGTCTGTAGTGGGGACTTTCCAGTTTTCGAAAAAAAGACTATTTGTATCGACTGAAGCACGACCCATTTTGGGGATTTCCGTAACATCTACCTGAGACCTATCGAGGTCGGTGTAAAATAGTGATAGTCCCTGTGATGGCTTCGTAACCTTGTCTAAAGGGGTTGTTCGGACGAGGATTAAGATCTTTTCCGCATTTTGGGCGGTAGAAGTCCAGATTTTTGACCCTTTGAGGATGTAATGATCGCCCTCCCTAGTAGCTGTTGACCGTAATCTCAGCGTGTCGAGCCCGGTATTAGGCTCCGTAACCCCAAAGCAGGCACGTTCACGACCCTGGATTAGCGGTATCAGGAACCTCTCTTTTTGTTCCTCATTGCCAAATTTCACAACTGGTTCCAGACCAAAAATATTCATATGTACTGATGATGCGCCAGACATACCCGCTCCTGATTCAGAAATGGTCTGCATCATCACTGCAGCTTCTGAAATCCCCAATTGGGACCCACCATACTCTGAGGGCATGCAGATACCCAGCCAGCCATTTTTGGCCAGCGCGGCTTGGAAATCAAGGGGAAAGCTCTTTGCTTCATCGGCTTTGAGCCAGTATTCATCGGGGAATTTAGAGCATATTTTGGCTATCGATTCGCGAATTGTCCGCTGTGACTCAGTCCAGTCGGGATCGTGAGCTTGTAGATACTCTATAGCTTTGGCATGCAACGATCTATACCCTATCCTCGGCCATGAAAATGGAGATCTGAACGTTGGATTTCGGGCATATCGCGTCGATATCTGGTGAAATTAGTCAAGGGGATATAAACGCTACATCTAGAGATCCATTACCAGGTTTCGTCTGATGAGAGGGAGAAAGTTCATTGCGGACAGAAAGTGCGAAAAATAAATAAATAAATAAATAAATAAATTGATTACAGTGACTTGATTCTATTTCCCAGGTTAAGCACTTGCATTACTTCTTTTGATGTAAGAAGAAATGCTGGCATGGGCCGGGTTTGGCGAGGTCCCGAATGAGGGGAAATCCGGGATAATCAACTGAATGCCGATTTGCCGAAAATTTACATCTCAAATTGCCGAACCTTGAGACGTTCTGTTTCTCTGAATAGAGATTTGCCTCTCAATTCATGAAAATTACATAGGTTAACTATAGCTAGAAGAATATGCATACTTGTGCCAATCATCTCTGAATCTCACCCAACATGACCACAGGAATTTGCTTGCAATTGGCACGACGTCTGGGGCTCGAACTTAGCCGCAGACGTCCAACTCTTGGGTTAAATGTCCTGGGGGAACGACATGGCCCATACTTTACACCCAAGTCCTATTCCTCGATGAGTTCCAATAATGGAGGAACATCTTATCTTTTAGGGGCGTTGCATGGATTTAAGATACTGGATCTATCTCGAATCCTGGCTGTGGGTCACAGTCATGTCTCTAATGTTTCAACCATACCCAGGCTAATTGAGCTGTAATTTTTTTTCATATACCTAGGGGCCATTCTGCACCCAGATATTGGCAGACTATGGTGCAGATGTAATCAAAGTCGAGCAACCTGGAAAAGGCGTGAGTAAAAACGTATAGATGCGCGGCCGGAAACGTTGATACTTTAAGCTAATTGGGTGATTTATCAGGATGATACCAGATACTGGAGAACAGAAGGAGAGGGTGAAAAATGGTCGACGGAAGGAATATCATGCTATTTTGCATGTGTAAACCGCAACAAACGTTCCGTCACCTTAGATCTCAAGAGCGAAAAGGGCAGAGAGATTATTTTCGATTTAGTTAAACGAGCAGACGTGGTGTAGGTCATATGTCGCACCTGTAGCTCAAAATCTGCTGATATTCTAAAGGGTGGAAAACTTTTTACCGGGAAAGATGGACAAACTGGGCATTGGATATGAAACCATTTCCAAAGTGAACCCGGCCATTATCCATGCCAGCATTTCCGGTATGTAAAATTCTCAGCAAGGACAGGCAGTAATTTTGACACAGAATTAGGGTATGGTGCCACTGGACCCTATTCCCAGCGCGCGGGTTATGATATCATCGCTGCTGCAGAAGGCGGCCTGCTTCACATAACTGGTGAAGCTGACGGTCCTCCTACAAAACCTGGGATTGGCTTGACAGATCTGTGTACCGGACTGTTCATGCACGGGGCAATAATAGCAGCGTTGCAGGCTAGACATCAAACCGGAAAAGGCCAAAAACTTGAAGGCTCTCTTTTTGAAACCCAGGTATCATTGATGACCAATGTCGCAAGCAACTGGCTGAATATGGGACAGGAAGCCCAACGGTGGGGAACAGCTCATCCAAGCATTGTTCCATACGAAGCTTTTAAAACTAAAAACTCCCACATTGTCCTCGGTGCAACGAACAATAGACAATTTGGAATCCTCGCAGATCGTCTGGGAAGCCCATATTTGGCACACGATGGCAGGTTCCGAACAAACGATTCAAGAGTGCGCAATCGAGTGGAGCTGAATGGCATTCTGCGTGAACTGTTCAAATCCAAAACAACTGATGAGTGGCTTACGATCTTCGAAGGCAGTGGAATGCCGTATGGGCCAATTAACAATCTAGAAAAGGTGTTCACCCATGCCCAAACTCAAGCAAGAGAAATGATCCAATCTATCGAACTTGATGCTGCCGTTGATGGAAGATTCAAAGTCACAGGTACGTGTATGCCCCTGGGGCGAATTTAATTTTCAAACTTTGAAGGCTAATATTATTATATCGATGAAAAACAGGATTTCCCGTTAAATTTAGCGGCACGAAACCTTCAATTCGAAGCAACCCTCCGCTTCTGGGGGAGCATACGGATGAAATCCTTCAGGAGCTTGGTATTTCCAAGGAAAAGTTGGCGGATTTGCGACGGGAGAAGATTGTATAAGCATGTCCCAAAGCTTGCTTGATACCGATTTTTATAATAGTATTTACCGCTGTTAAAGCAAAATCACCGCATAAATAGAGACATTCGTGTGCTAACTAAATTCTTTAAGTTAATGTCTTTTATGGAATTTTTCAGACTTACACTATTGAGAGAGTTATTAATTATTTGCAAATATTTATAGTTTATTAAATGTTCTATAAATATATTGAATGTAATTTTGGTATATCTGTCTATCTCTACTCTGTATATCTAATACTATTCTAAGAGAATACGTAGCAACTTGATCTAATTTATACAGAAGTGTGGGTGACGCTAGTATAAGCGAGATATAAGAGAAAAAATCAATAGAAAAGAAAAAGAAAAAAGATCAACAAAATATACCAGCTATTGAGAGAATATGATATTCACTACTCTGAATGTTCATATATATATATATATGTGTGTGTGTGTGTGTGTGTATATGTGCACATTCACTCACCTTCAAAAGAGAGATGAACATTCTAACAGTGCAACAAGTCTACATTAAAATATTATCAATTTATTGATACATTATCTACAATGTTGAAAACATTGAATATGTAAGAAAGAAAGAAAGATAAACATAGAAAATAAAAAGCTTTGAGTAACTATTATATAAAAACTCAAAGTTAAAGAACAAGAGCATAAAAGTTCAATCGAAGTATATAAATTAAAGCTCTTAAAGTAGTAAAAATTAAGTTTCTCCTCATCTGGTGACTTGCAATTTTTAGTGCAGTTTTTTAATGAGTACATTAGTGTATTAAATACAGTGATCTAATTGATTCTAAACCAGGATCTGCAGTATTTAGCAGTATTGATGTAATCTATGTAATCTATTTGAGCTACCTCTAATTTAGTTTAATTGAATGGAATTCTGCTCAGCATCAACCTTTTATGCAGAGGGGGTATTTTGACATGTAGAACAGCCACGCATTGATTGTGGAAGCCATTTTTGATTCTGCTGACCCTGTTGTTTTTTGTATTAACACCAGACACAAGTTTGTATAGTTGGAAGAGAAATTCACTCATGTTTTAGAATGGAATTCAATCATTCAGGTGGTAGTGTGGATGAGTATGACGAAAGTCAGAACATTGCAGGCATAAGATAGTAGTATTTGTAATGACTAGCTAATTGATCAGAACAACTGAAGAAGAAGAAGAAGAAGAAGAGAAAAACAGCAAGAAAAGAATGAAATATATAATGTGTATAGGTGTATGTGAGTCATAAGTGAGTCATAAGAGTGATATGGCTGTAGCATTAGATCTGAGTTATTGCCGCGATATGAGATATATGAGCGATATGATGATCAATAACATACGAGCGATATAATTATTATTATTATTATTATTACTTATTTAACGCCTTGAGGCACGTGATCAGCTGACTAAGAATAGTCTGCCGTCGCGGCCACAGCACCTCCCTAAGGGTATCAGGCGTGCCAGCGCAGCAGCTAGTCTGCTGCCTGACATGTCTAGTCGGCCGAAGCCCTCTTGAGAGTCTATGTACAGAGTAGCCCCCGTCCTGGAGGTTCTGAATGGCGTAGTAGCCGAAGGTTATGGGACTGAGGAAGCCAAGGGCTTCTAGGGTGGTGTGTAGGGGTGATGGGAAATGTATATAAGGAACATAGGAAAGAGGGAGGGGGAGGGAGAAGTCAGATGTGGAACAGGTTCTAGTAGCAGCATTGGATGTCAATGAAGAAGCGGGTATTAGTGCACCAGGTAGAGAAGGCTGTAGCTCCTCTTACTGTGCTGAGAAGCCAGTCAATTGCTTCCTTTGGTCCTCAGCATGCTTCAGAGGTTTTAATTCATTCAATGTTCCGGCCTTTCCAGCAAAAGAAGAAGTGCTCAGGGGTCTTATCTCAGCCGCAAGAGCAGGTGAGGAGTGCGTTGTCATGTGCCCATCTGTGATGATAGGCTGCAAAGTCACTGTGGCCCTGTTCTAGCTGCCAGCAAGTGGCCTAGGTTCCTTCAGGGGAGAGTGAGCTCAGGGGAGGGTCCTTTCGACATTGGGATATTGAGGTCCTTGTATTGTGATGTGCTATTGGAGCTCCAGAATTGTTGCAGTGAGGCATTGAAGTGTTCTTTAGCATAGGATTTGGCCTGTGCCAGGGTCAGAGTGCGGTGAGTGCATTTCATTGTGCAGGCTGACTTGGCCGCAGCATCTGCAGCATCATTGCCTGGAATCTGAGCGTGGCCAGGGCACCATTGAACATAGACCCGTCTCAGGCCGGCTGGACCTGGGCCCTGTTTTGTCCGGGACCTGCGGAGTTCGTTGAACTTAGCAAAGGCGAGAAAAGATGTTTGTGTGGGTGTGTCTGTGTGGAGTCTTATTGCAGCCTCTTCATTGTCTAGACCCACTATAATGTGCCGTGTGAACATAGAGAAGGGATTCTGTAGTGCTGCCTTGAGACCGGCAACTGCTGCAAGCACTTCAGCATCAAAGACCTCAGTGGTGCGGCCCAGAGGCAACTTGCCAAGCTCCAGAGATTGATTTGTTCCTCAGTATAGACAGTAGCCTCCGCCTGAAACTCCTTGGCTGTCTTTGGAGCCATCAGTGTATGTGATGAGATTGAGGGGGGATACAGCTTTCTGAAGCCAGTTTTGGAAAGCTGCTGGTCCTGCAGCTTGTCCCACAGCCCCAATTTCTAGTGCCTTTTGCTCTCTATTTGGTATGCCAGGGTTGTCCCAAGGAGGCAAGGACCCTGAGCCGGGTGTGGTGGCCGTCATTTTAATGTTTCGTCTAATCCATTTAAAACGTGAGGTGTACCATCTTCGTCGTAGGGATGCGACGGGTCGGCTGCAGCTACGCGAACGGCTAGTCGGTCATGTATTCTTTCCAGCCAGGTAACGTAGTCCGATACCTAACCGATCACGACACCTAACCGATCAAATTTTCGTCCCAATCACCCACTCTATTAAATCATTCAATATGACAGCCACACCTAGCAAAGAACCTTCTAATCAAGAAGCCAGGCTCTTATTAGCTATTAAAGATTATGAAACTAAGCAAATTTCATCTATTCGCGTTGCTGCTAAGACGTACGAGCTTCCTTATACTACGCTTTACGATAGACTACGCGGTGGAACCACGTACACGAATGCTCAACTAAAAAATCGAAAGCTGACCTCTACTGAAGAGGAATCTCTAGTTCAATGGATACTCTCTATGGATGAGAGAGGACAGCCTCCCCGGATCGCGACCGTACGAGAAATGGCTAATCTACTACTTGAGGCGCGAGAATCCACTACTACAACTACCGTGGGAGGAAGATGGGTAGAAAGATTTTATACAACGGCATTCTGAACTAAAGACGAAGTTCTCACGCAAGTACGACTATCAGCGAGCTCAATGCGAGGATTCAAAGATCATATACGAATGGTTTACCCTGATGGATCGTACGATAAAGAAGTATGGAATTACTTCAGAGGATATCTATAACTTTGATGAGATTGGCTTTACAATGGGGGTTATTTCAACATCCTGGGTGGTTACTAGAGCTGAGAGAGCTGGCAGGCCATCTCTTTTACAGCCAGGGAATAGAGAATGGGCAACTGTGATCGAGGCAGTTAACGCTACGGGCTGGGCTCTACCTCCTATGATTATCTTTAAGGGCAAGCTTCATCAAGCCTCCTGGTACAAGCAGCTGCCAAAGGATTGGACAATTGGCGTTAGTGAGAAGGGATGGACCACGGACGCTCTTAGCCTTGATTGGCTGCGGAAGGTCTTTAACGGAGCTACTAAAGCTTGTACGAAGGGCAGATATAGACTGCTTGTGTTGGATGGGCATGGCAGTCATGCCACGGCCAGATTTGATAAATTCTGTCTGGATCACGGCATTATATCATTATATATGCCTCCACACTCCTCTCATTTATTACAGCCACTAGATGTGAGCTGCTTTTCACCATTAAAGAGAGCGTACGGCAAGAGGGTGGAACAAAGCGTGAGACTAGGAATCAGTTATATTGACAAGGAGGACTTTCTAGCCAGCTATACAACAGCTAGACAGGAGGCTATGAAGGATATAACTATAAAGAACGGATTCAAAGCCACAGGCCTAGTGCCATACAATCCAGATGAGGTTCTTACTCGCCTACATACTCAATTTCATACTCCTACCCCCCCGGGGTCAGCTCACGGATCTCACGGATCTCAATCCTCCTGGACCCCCAAGACCCCTCGCAATGTGACTCAGTTGGAGCGGCAGAGCAGCAGAATCAAACGCCGTACGGAAATTCTCTCTAGTCCTACAAATCAGGCTCTTGATCAACTAGTGAAGGGATGTCATACGGCCATGCATAATGTTGCTTTACTGACCAAGGAAGTCATGGAGCTGAGAGCTGCCAATGCTAAGCAGAAGCGTAAGAGAGAGAAATCACGTTTCTATATAGCTAAGGAAGTAATCCTTACGGCTCAAGAAGCTCTAGCTAGGATGGCTAAGCCTCTGGAGCCTCCTGAACGTACGGAGGTTTGGATGGAGGATCCAAATCCGGAAGGTAGAAAGCGAAGACCTCCCACCTGCAGCAAGTGTAATACACCCGGACACACTATTAGGCAGTGCCAACAGACCTAAGGATCTAATCTATATAATTTCTATATAAAATCTCTCGTGGTTGTTGCTCAATTTAAAAAATTGTCAAATAAGGATGAAAATTTGATCGGTTAGGTGTCGTGATCGGTTAGGTGTCGGACTACGTTACGAGCGATATAATAATCGTGACAAAGGCTAGCTAGTATATACACTAATCACGTGCGGTAGGGCGGCTGTACTATCCTTAGATGACTAAGCCCACCTTCCTGCCCATGAAATTACAACTTCATCTTGATACATCTTGAATATCGCAGTGCAAAGATGACAGTGCTCAATCATGATCTTGCTTCCGATTACCCAACTCTTCAATTAACGCGGGGAGCAAATTTCTTTTCCAAAGGTCTCTGTTAGAAAACGAAAAAATAATAGACCAGTTCCATTTTCCCCTTAGGGTGGATTCTTGAACTAATCACTGGCCGGCCCCTGAAATGCTCAGAACAATCGTACTGTGGAACTTAATCATTTAAGCCCTTATGGCAGCCCATCCCCTCCCAGAAGCGGAGCTGTCTGTGCATGATGAAATTGGTGATTATAGGAGGGATCTAGAAGCACATCCACCACAGCTACCTAGTCCTACAGACAAAATACCGTGGATCGTACGCCACCTATCTGAAGACGTCAAAGCGAAACATGCAGATCTAATATTCCTCTTCTGTTACTTCTTGTCGGGTCTCTGTGACAGCACTGCCTACAGAGCCTGGGGATGCTTTGTTAGCATGCAAACGGGTGTGTTTGAGAATATCTACCCGCCTGCATAGCTCTGCATGTTATGCAAAAAGCATCATTTGCTGATACTAACCATGCCAGGTAATACCATATTTCTTGGACTGGGGACATCCAACACCCTCGAGCAAACAACGTACGATTGGCTCAAGTCCCTTGTTTCGATTCTGTCTTTTCTCGCTGGGAGTTCAGCCTACTCAAAGACTAGATATTTCCGACCTCAAAGCCGGAGTGCCTTGGTCGGCAATTTCGGTTCCCAATGCCTCATTCTCATTACAGCCGCATCCATGCTCCAATTGGGTGTTATTGAAGACTCTAACAAGGAAAAGGGTGTGCACACTCTGCTAAAACTTATACCGTTGGCACTAGTCGCTTTCCAATGTGCTGGTCAAATGGCGGCAAGTCGTCTACTCGAGTTCCCCGAGCTTCCAACAACCATGTTGACAAGCCTATATTATGACCTGGTTGCCGATCCCGGCATTTTTCGACCATTAGGCAAAAACACGATGCGTAACAGGCGCGTTACTGCTATTATCGGTGTCATTGGAGGTGCGACTATTGGCGGCTGGCTGTTTACAAGCACGGGTCGAGTCTCGACCGCGTTGTGGGTGGCGGCGGCATCAAAACTTGTCATCTCTGCTATTTGGTTCTTCTGGAAACAAGAGAACAGGAACAGTAATAAGCCGCACACTGCGGCGGATCCTGTCACCTGAATGCGTAGATGTGACATACGTCGTTGCATTTGAAGCTTTGCCATTATAGGTCGTCAATTAGCCGCTGCAACGCGGTAACGACAGCCATTACGAATATCGTTGACAGTATTCTCTTGACTCTGTATCCTCCTGGAATAATTATTGTCAACAGGTTTACTTCTGTTCCATGAAGATTAATATGCCCAGTTCGCATTATCAATACCAAATGTGTGAATGAGCAATACGTTTACTCACAAGCATAGAAGATATATATCTGCCCCTCAAAGGGCAGAATCCATTACACTTGTAATCTCTGCGGCTAATTGGGGCGATTATTAACCTGCCGCATTGAGTTGAAAGACCGGCCATTAAGAGTTAAAGGTTATGGAGGTATTTGGACGGGAAAGTTGTTTTCACGAATACGCCTATCGTGATGTGAGCAATAGCTTTCGAGCCCAAAAAACATAGAAGCGAACCACGCAACTTCAGACGTCAAGACGTCATAGGACGCCAAGTTGGGCGTTAACTTACGGACATCAACTGAAGACGTGGTGGCTATACAGAAAATGGAAAACAAAAAGAAAAGAAGAGAAGAGAAGAGAAGAGAAAATAGACAGCAGCTCAATGCATATCATACCAAGCTAGAGCAAACTCAGCAAAGTATTATATCTAAAAGCGTTTGTACACCAACGATTCCAGTATTAGGAGTTAAACCTTTTAAGTAGATAAAACTTGGGCGGCTAAACAGTTTGAGTTTTGTTGATTGGTTACCAGTAGCGCGACGGGGATTCAAGGTAAAAACATTAACTCGGTAGTCCGGTCCGCCACCGAACCTTAAGCTACATCCGCGGTAAACAGGGGAGTCTAAGTGGATGGAACAAGGGACTATGAGGGGATCACACGGTAACAATTCTGCATTGCATCTGTGATGCATATGTGACAGTGGGGTTAAGGAGGGGAGGGTCTGGGGGTATATTTTGGATGGACGTGCCTAAGATAGAGGCGTTTGGCTACTCTATTTTATTTATATAGGGGCCAAAACGATGGGAAGTACACAATGTGGTTAATATTGTTTATGTACAGCATGTAGGGACTAAGGGGGGAAGTGGATGGCTTTCAAATAAAAGGTCAAAGCTAGATATCTATGAGGTAAGTATGTATATATACCAATGAAGGACATATAGACGATAAACATAAGCAGGGAGATATGGATAGGCAAGGTTCCACATATAGAATAAAGAATAGACAAAAAGTAATAGTATAAAAATAGGTACAAAACGAATTAATAAGGCAAAATAACAAAAATAACAAACAGCAGTGGTATCATCAAAGGAAAGATAACAACAACCAAAATATGAAAAGGATTCCTAAAGATAAAGAAAAGGAGAGACAAAATGACAAAAATCCCAATCCACATAGAGCAGATAAACATGAACAAGAACGCGAGTGCTGCTATGACTCGAGAGCATTTATGGTGACAGGGCAGAGGTATCGACGTATGAGACAGCCACCCACCATAGCCCAGGAACAATAATAAAACATCCAGTCAGATCCAAAACCAGGAGATTGCCGGAAACAATAAAACCACCAACAACGGCAATGCCAATGGGAGACCAAAGTAAGCAAAACGAAGTCCAAGAAAATCAACCAACAACACCATACTCACTAAAAAAACAAACCAGGAATCAGTAGTCGAAAGCGGATAACCTAACGACTTCAATGACAACAATATTATGCAACGAATGAAGATAGATCCCAGGCGCCAGGGCAAATGGAGCGAGAAACAAGAGCAGAACCTCGAGGGGACGGACCAGGCAGGTTGGTTGGGTTCTTTTGTTATGAAAGAAGTAAAAAAGGAAACAAGATGGGGAAATTTTTTGCCAGCGAGGCGAGGATGTATAAGATAAGAATGAAGGGAAGTTCATATCACAAAATCTTCGGTACCACAGTGGGCGAGGGGAGAAGATGGATGAAAATGACGAGTAAGAATGAGGTGTAAGAAGGTAGGCGAAGGCAACTTCTCCTTCAAAGTGTTGTAGTCGATCCCTTGAAGGAAGCTGAATGTGGAGGGAGCTTTTTTTCCAATCTTCGGGTCTTCGGTCGGTTGTGCAGATTGTTTTGGGAGACCCGTCACAGTGAGCCATATATCACCTTTCCACCCGACACCGTTCAAATCGTCCTACTCCCAACCATAATTTATCCACTTTACAAAATTCTATAACGGTCAAAAACACAAAATATATCCAACCAAAAAAAAGAAAAGAAGGAGAAAAAAAGAGAAAACAAAAAAAGAAAAGGGGAAAAAAGCCAAAGTTCCTAGCCGGCAGTCATCCTGCGCAAAATCTCATCACAATTGGCATCGAACCTCATATCCCACAGACGAATACTATTCATCAATCTCTCCGTATTCTCCAACTCCCGATCACGGCCAAAGATCGAATCGACAAACTCACAGCCGGCATTGCGGCCCATCATAACCGGCCCACATCTGCCGGTTTCCCGCTTTGCAGCCTTCCACATAAAATGCTCGCACGCCTTAAGCAGCTTTTCGAACCGATCCCACAATCGCTCGCCGCCATCAAGAAAATCCTCAACCATCTCGCGCGTCTCAGCGTTGCGAATGCGCGACCCACATTCCCGCGCCCGTTTCACTTTACCAGCCAACTTGATGAGGAGAAGCCACAGATCGCCAGCAACATCGGCCATGGGTGCAGAGGCGCCATGATGAAAGACGGTCCAGTCATAGATCCATTTACCGAGAGAATTGGCGTCGAAAACACTACCGAGAAGAAGGATGGGCTCTTCGGAGGGATCCCAGTTTTTTATTGAATATCCATCCGGGATACCATTTCGAATAGCGTCAGCTTCGGTAGCTTTGGGGTGTTTGGGCAGGCTGGAGGTGGGTTTAGGTTTTTGTGGGATGCGGGTAGATGTTGAGGCGCGACGGGCTCGAGAGCGCATGGCAGAGTCTGTCGCATTATAGACGGGAACCTGGTTGTAGTAGAAAGACTGATCAGTGGTTGGCTTTTGCTTACGATAAAATTGATATTGCCCGGCGTTCTGCCTGGCGGGCGTCCCGGCGCCGTCATCGAAACGACGACGACCACCAGCCCAAGCCGATGCACGACTGTACCTGGGAGGCACATGGGTGGCAGAGCGCGGCAGCGTATCGAAAGCATTGTCAACCACAACGTTGAAGAAGGGTCGTTTCTGCGATTGGAGAGGCGAGGCGGGCTGGTGATAAGAATAGAAGGGATCTCCAGATGCTGATGGCATGGAAGGGCGGCGAGGCGCTCTCCCTCCGGCTGCCTTGTAGTGGCTTTCGCCGTAAAAAGCACTTACTTTTTCGTGCTTGTGCGGAGGCGAAGGATAGCTGTGCACCGCATCATAGTAGCTTGCGTAACCTGGTGGCATGGAGTGCCAGCCACCCGAGGAGTCCTTTGCAGCGGAGTAACTGGCCCAATGAGCCTGTCGTTTCGGACGAGAGACATGTGGTGTTCCGAAATTGGAGGGATAGTAGGCGTAATGGGCAGGGAGAACGGTAGCGTAATCGTAAAAAGAACATCCAGCTGGTGGAGCTGGATATTGATACATTGTCGAAGAGAGAGCATAGAGACACCGCAAACATATAAAAAAAACCAAAATAAAATAAAACCAACCACGCCGGATATATTGTTTAAATAAATGTTGAAAAAAAAATTATCTCCCTTTTCTTTATATAAATGGTCAAGTAAAAACCAACAACCAACAACCAACAACCAACAAACAAGAAGCGAAAACAAGAAAAACAAAACCGACAAGTGTATTTGTACAGGATATCGCTTGCAAACCGGAAGAAAAGGACAGCAAAGAGTTAAGGGGAGATATAGATAGCCCGTCACCTCGGGGATGAATATAGAGGCAACAAAAGGAGATTTGACTGATCTTTCCCGACGTGCATTTGAGCTCTGGCAACGACTCCCGGTCGAGAGAACAGAGAGACAGATGGAGGATGGATTTGCTGGAGAGAGAGGGAGAGAGCGGGTCCAAAAACAATGGGCCGACCCAAGTGAATTTAAAGAGGCGAACGACGTCCGCTGGGACTTCTTGGGATTTGGACAGGCCGGAGAGATCAGGACAACAGTGCGCAATGACGGCTGTCTGTCAAGACTGTTCTCTGAGAGCAAGCGATGGGATATAGAAATAGTAGAAATGGTCGAACTGGTCAAGGTGATGGAGACTGTTTCGTGTGCAGTTGAAGCGGAGAAGAAAGAAAAAGGAAGAAAAAAGAGAACAGAAGAGGTTGGGAGCAAAAAAAACAGCAGGGTATTGTATTTAATAGGAGCGAGGGACGTGGTTTTTTTTTTTTTTTTTTTTTTTTTTTTTTTTTCTTCTTCTCCTTCTCGAGGGGGCCACGAACAGGCCGGAAAGGCAGGAAAATGTTGGTGTGTACGGTATGTACGGTATGAACAAAATGGACGGAATGTTCAAGTACCCCAATACCACAAGCGAAGGACGTAATATTACGCCAATTAGCCGGGGGTGGGGTTTGGGTGGCGGCGTGGGGTTAATTAAGACAGAGTGCGTGGGCCTTGACTTCAACCCAACAGCTGCTATGTTACTCATTTGGCCTATTGTCAACCCTCTGATCCCCTGGAACAGCCCAGTCCATCCCCATCCAGCTGCTCGATGATACGTCACCTCATACAGCCCATACAGAGACCGTATTACTAGGCAGGGAATACCAAGTGCACCCCAGTCGCTGTGAGAGACGGTTTCGTATCCGTATTACTCAACTCGCTAGGTACAGTCCAACTACTCTCCTAACTAAAAAAGAGACTCCGTACTGGACAGAGCATCGCCAGGGCTATTCTGATGAGTTAGTCGTCTGCCCCTCCTCCACCCACACAAGTCAATTCGGAGATTGATGGAGAAAATTCCAAAAATCCAAAAAGAAGTATCTAACAAAATATACCTCCGAAAAGCATGGGGAATCATTGAGGCGGGATTATTCTGACAGCGGTTCGAAGAAAGAAGATGATGAAAATTATGTGCCTGGAGATCCATCCATGGATGTCATGACTGATCAGGTTATTTACTCACAGCTTCCCTTCGCTCTGCGGCTTCTATGCTTGGATACTGGATACTACTGGATACTTGCAGGAAAAGTCCTCGAGAATGTCCATATATGTGCTGTGCTGCCTTGGTAATTACCAGCTTGACAATCCCTCTCCTGATGGATGATCGAATGAAACATGAAGGGGAACCAACCAAAATAATGACTCAAAACCCGCATTTTGCCCCGTTGACTAATTCTTAACAATTCCATCACCATCAATAATCAGTTAACTAGCTAACTAAACTAACTTAGTGATTACCTATTGAAGAGAAGAGAAAACTAATTTCAAAGCGCCGCAACACGCCGCCCATATGGTAGTGGCTTTGGAGACGGCGAAGGACAGCGATGGTTTCATACGCCAGCTGCCTCCCTAGATAGTTCAATGGTAAGCAGGGAAAACCATAGTAGAGGGCACAATCTGGGAGAGGGCCTGAGTTGAAGAGTAGAGTCATCGTCATCTTTCTCTGTGTTTAAATATATACGGCTGCCTGGGAGTGTTCCAAAGGAGGGGGCGTCAATTGGGTGAAGACAGGAATAAGGATCGCCAACATTTTCCCCTTGGCCCTGCAATGGATCCCGGTATCTAGTTATCCGTACCTAGTCAACTATCTCATCATCCATGATCATATTTGCCCATGCTACTCCGCGCGCCAAAAAGGGACTAAATTCCCTGTCTCTCTTTTCTCTCAGCGCGCTCGCCACGGCCCGCCCACCAATTACATGCGTTGTATCTCATTACGGAGGACTCTCAGTGAGACTCAGCTCAGTCTCTGGTCCTGTCATTAGTTACCGGCACACATAGAACTGAACAAGAATAACTCTAAAAACTGGGATAATCCATTCAACCCATACTCTCCCCGCCACTGGAAATTTGAGAAACAGACGCTCTCACCAACCATCAGACACTACCGCCGTTCCTCCTAGCGTGGAACCAGTGCCCGTCTGGTCGTGTGGCTGTTGCGACCGCTGGGGTCCGCTATAGATTCTCTCGTCCTGGACCCTACGGAGACACCAGGAAGCATAATTATTGCCCAAGGAGAAAAGAATGTTGTTTGCCTTCACTGCTTCTCCCATACATCATTTCACATGAAACAAAAGAACAAAGCTGAAAGGGGGGTAGTAATAATAATATCTACTCATAAGTAGTTATTTAACATATTTCCCAAGCGAGTGCAACACCCAAGTGAGTGCAACATCAAAACCACTAGAGCTCAACCCATTAGATTTTAATTCAAATTATCTCAACACTACAATACTCAATTAAATTAAATTAAATTACATATACTTGAAAACATCTTAATCTTGTATGTCTGAGAATATTACATTTGCTGCAGTGTTGTAGAGCTCATTAGTATGAAGCAGATGCAGATAATGAGAACTTATAAAATTGAATAATTAACTGTTCAACAGATGATGCAGATGAAGCTAGAAGATTTTAAACTTTTTCACTAGTTAAAATGTTCTACTTCTTGTTGAATTCAATATTTAAATCTCTTATATTTTTACTTCTTTATCTTATTTATATTAAATATATTGTGATATTACTTCTTTAAAATAATAACACTGATCATATCATATTTACAAATTTTAATAACTTAATTAAAGTTTTTTATAAAGTTTTCAGATTGATTTTTCACTAAATCTTTGATTTTATTTATTTGTTAGTATAATTGCTAAGAATTATTAAATTTTTAAAATATTTAAAATATGATTAAATTGCTAAAGCTGTTATATGAAAGAGTAGAGATTTATAATTAAATATTTAGCTATTAAAAAATATAATTATATTGAAAAATAACTATTTCAACTCTCTTAAAATTATTTTACATAGTTTGAAATTTGAAAACTATAATATGTACTATAGAATAAGCATTTAAAAAATTTATATTTTAAATAATATTAAATTTAAATCATATTTGCTGCTGAACTCGATCTTCATATGCTTACTTTAAAGTTGAAAAAATACTCATATTTAATAACTGTAAAAAATATGAGAAATAAAACAGTAAATAAAAATATATTATAATATTATTCTTGTAGATTTGATTAAATTCTGAAATAAAATAACTGTTATAATTATTCAAAATAAGAAGAATAAATTTGTTAACTTTGTAAGAATTTATTATTAAAATAAATATCTATTGAAGTTATTTCAAATATATTTTATCAATAGTTCAGTTATTTGAACTAGTATCTAGTTTTAAATTTTTTAAATAATTTTCAAATTACTTTTTTAATAAATTCTTACTTTTGAGAAAAATAAAAAAAAAATATTATAATATTAAAATCTTTTATACTAGCTTTTTGCTCTCATACTACTTAGTAAAGAATCTTATAAAGAATTAACACTAGAATCAGCATTTAAAATCAATACTTTGCATTATATCATAATTTAGTCTAGAGGCAAGATGATATATAAAACAAAAGCTTAATTTATTTATCTACAAGATAGCTGCGATGAGAATACTAAACTGAGAATTAGAATATGAGAATGAATAAGTAGTTTAATATATATAGATAATTGAAAATCAGAGTAGATTAATCTAAGCAACTGAATATAATTGAGAATAAAACAGATCAATCTTTTCTCATATTATCAGCAACAGTGCTATAACATATTATATTATTAATTTTTTATTTCTTAAAAGATTGAAGATAAAATCTATTACTATTTACAAAAGAATAGAATCAGTACTATATTACTCATTTCATAAAATATTAAAAATAAAATCTATTACTATTTATTTATATTTATAAATACTTTAAATTTTCAAATTTATTTAAAAGATTCAGTGATTAGCTACTGTTCAATTCTATATTTATGTTTTTATTTATTGCTATTATCTTCTCTTTATAGTACTTATAATATTTTATTTTTACTTTTTTATAATATTAATTATAGTACTTTTCATACTTTTTTTTAACATTTAGTTCAGTCATATCAAATGTCTTCACAGATAAAATCTATTCAAATATATTGAATAACTCAATTATAGTTATTTATTTATGTTAGGCTCAGCGCCCGACCGAGCCCGACCGAGGCCCGGTGCCCGGTTAGACTCGACGTCGGATTAAGCTCGGCGCCCGATTAGGCCAAATATTCTCACGTGATCAAACGACCATGTGGGTGGTTATAACCTGGGCAGGCCTCAGCACCTCTTTCATCCCATCAAGCTTAGTATTTCGTTATATAGCAGTTAGCAACGCAGAGAGTTTCCTTCTTATGCAGCTCGCATTCGCTCCCTAACAATTTATAATTTTCAGACTATAGAAGCTTTACTTTGCTATAACACTCACTACTAGTAATAATTTTAGTAGTGATGCAAACTTTCATAATAAATTTAATCTTATTAAAGTTGTATATATTTTCTGACAGAATCTCATGCTCAGTAATTATATCTCTTAAAATTTTAAATTAATTACTTATATTTATTAATCTTTGCACTTGATCTGTTCATGATTATAATGACTGAAATAGGAACTTTGAAGCTCTGAATAACATGTCATTAAATTTGACACTTAGTTCTTGTTAATGCAGAGAGAGAAACTGGTGAAGATGATTGAATTCTGCATAGTAAGAAGATAATTAGCTGTATTTTCAATTAATACTGACTGAGAATATTTTCAAAAATACTTTCATTAAAATTTCTTTTATATTAAATTTATTGTTTTGTTTTGTTTTATTTAAGTTGAAAAAGAGACTGGATTAAAATTAAAACTATAAATGTGTCTTTTGTCAAAAGAATATTAAATGCTATATTATTTTGAGATGAAACTCTATAAGTGCGTGGATTGATTACTATTTATTAGTTAGATTAGTAAAATAGTTAGATTCTAGTTTAACTAAATAGATGTTATAGTTATTGACTGAATACATTTTAAATGAAGAGAATAATAATAATAATAATGACTATGAGAGAAATTCATATTTAATTTGATTTAGTGTTTATTTAACTAACTTATTTTCTTCAGCAGAAGATAATTTGTGTAAATTTGCATAGAAATTCATTTTTAATTATCAGTTATTCAGTCAATAGATTAAAGTAAAATAAGAGACATTAAATAAATGAGTAGCTTCACAAATTAAAGTAATTTCTTAATTTTTAAAAGTTTTTATTACAAGTTCAAGTCTTTTCTCTCTCTTTACAGAATTTGAAGCATTTTTATTTGTGAATTGATGACATAATTATGCATTAAAGTGAAAGAATAGTTAAATTAGAAAATATTTTGAATTAATGTTGCACTTGCTTGAGTGTTGTATTTGCTTGAGAATTACATTAGTTAACTAACTAGGTAGTTAAATAACTTAGTTTATCTCCTTGTTGAGGTCATTTAGAAGATTTAACTTAAGCTCCCGCGTTGCGCACAGGTCTCGAAATCTGATTAGAGAAGATATACCTTCAGACCCGTCCGTATTGGGATCGTGAACCAACATTAATGCCCCACAGAAAGAGTCATGTCAGCTGCAACCACACTTCATGTATCCTGACCTGTCTTCCTCCATGCCATGATGCCAGGATACATTTTACGGCTCCTGGGGACTGAGAGAAAGAGAAAGAGAGTCACTCGGCTAT